CAAGTTTTGCCAGCAGCTTGGGTCGACATAGTCTTTTTCCCATTAAATAGGTCACAATGTTGTTTTTTGATTTGTGCTCTTGTTTACTGGATTCTTACCCTGGCTGACAGATAGCCTGAAGGCACGATGTTGCAAAGGGTGGGATGGCTGGAGGTCTGATGAGAGATGTGTCCATCTTGCTGCAATGCCCTGTATCTCCCCAGAAGCCCCTGTACAGACAGACAGGAGGTGAGAGAGGGGAGGAGATGGGGTCAGGCCAAGCTGTGCTATGCATTTTGATGATTGTGCAATGCTGTGTTCCCAGGCAGAGATTTCAGCCACCGCAGCATTGCACTCCAGGGTCTCCCTGCACCAGACACCTCCCCTTATTTTACCAGAATGCATTGCTGTGGAGGAAATCAGATTTATGGTTATATTGGAAAAAATTGGGGAAAAACAAACAAACAAACCAAACAAACAAATAAATGAACACCCCCCCCCCAAACCAAAACAAAAATAAACCAACAAAAACTGTGTGAAATTAGCATGTCTGTTTATCTTATGGAATGGTCAAATGAGAGAATCCTCACCTCCTTTCACGGGTGAATTGTACAGATTGTGCCTCCAAGGGTGAGGAGGGACAAAAACAAGACCATCTCTCTCACCTCCCAGTGTCAAGTATGCTGACAGAAATAGAGGAAGAATTGTAAAACAGCCATACAAAGGAGGAATTTGGCAATGATCATTTTGAAATAAACCTGTTTGTGACAAGCAGTGACTGTGGCAATATTTACGCTATGATTCATACCAAAGTGCAGCACCTGCAGTTCTAGTCTGGATGACTTTTAGGATAGAAGCAGCAGCAAATAGTATTCTGATGTTTAATAATGAGTGAGCAAGTGTCAAAGCTGCTCTTGGCTCTGGAACGGCATTAACTTAGAGCAGGACATCTGTAAGAGCTGGCTGCAAGCATCTTTACACTGCCAGGTGTGTATTACCTGTAACTGACTCACAACAGACTGAGGTTTGCACTGCTGCCTATCTCTCTGTACTCACCTGCACTCTCTCGTCTCTTTTATGTGACAGTTGCAATTACAAGAAACTCTTAGCTGGCATATGCCACATTAGAGCCCTTTGAGGATGCTCTCAGAAAGTCCCTTACACTTCCTCCCACTCCTCCTTGATGACAAGACTGAACTTTCTTACCTGTATCTATACTAAAGAGCCAGCAACACTTTCTGTCTGTGTCTGTAAACTGCAGGCAGCTCCTGGAAGCCTCCTTTCAGAGGCAGAGGCATGTTAATCTCTCAGTGCTACTGATAAACTGCTACAGCCAGGAAGACATCAAAGATTATTTGTATGCCTGGTTATTGATGCTGCCAAAAGGCAGCTTTTAGAAACTCATCGAATTCCAGTGGACACCAGTGGGAGCTGCATGTTGTAACACTGAAAAAACAGCTCTTCCAAGGGAACCAAAAAGTCAGGTTCCCGTTTCTTTACAGAAACTCAGCTTCAGAATATGGGACTGTACTCCTTCTCTTGCTCGATTAATATTGATAAGTACTTAGTGAAAAGCCTGGCTTATCTAAGCAGGGAAAAATGAGATCAGAAAAGGAGGTGTCTACAGATTATTCCCTCTAAGAAGATCTTTGCCTCCAACAAAATCTTCAACATTTGGATTTCTCAGTTTAGTCCTCAAAGGTATTTAATGGATTTTGCTTACATAAAATACTTATGCAGGGAAATGTCTTCACGCAGACTGGTTGCATGACTCTTCTGCTTAGCACTACATGTTCTCTTAGTTTTTCCCTGTACTCAACTATTGAAGTTAGTTTTCAACAGTTTTAAAGAAAACACCCTTAAACATTTAAGCAGGAAAAAATAAGAAGAAGCCAGTTTTTAAAACAGAAAAATTAATAATCTAGAGCCTGAAAGAATTGCTGATGTGAAAAACCTGCTTGCTTACATTTTGCCCTTCTATCCTGTCTCTAATTTTCCACTTGAAAAAAATTCTTGTTCTTTTTATTTCCATTTCAGGTTTATGTCTTTTAAGTCAATGCAAATGTACCTCATATCCTAGCTAGTGTATTCTTTTAATTGCTGGAGAGGTAGAAGTTGTACATCTGCATTTTGGAAACAGTTTGAAAGGCCACTGTTACCCACAGCAGCAGCAATGACAGACCATTTGTCTGTCCCACAGCACAGCACAGCACAGCACAGCACAGCACAGCACAGCACAGCACAGCACAGCGCAGCACAGTCCTTTCTACTTACTTATTTTGATGGGTCTGTACATTTGTTCTATACATGAAGAGGAAATAATGCACAAATACAGATTTCCAAAGCCATGATAAATTAATGGGGTTTCCATACACAGTAAATAAAAGACAAAACATACATGTTAATAAAATTATAAATAGCTTTCTGTACTCCTTTTTATTACACATACTACTTAGAGACACAAAGACTCTGGAAGTTGTAAAAATTTATACCATCCTCCATTCACATGAAGTGTGACTTTCCCAATCTGTGCATCTTCCCCACAGTGCAGAAAACATCCTGGGGCAGGGAGAAATTGGAGGAGGCTGCATCTTTGATAAGTCTGCAGCTGATACTGTTACACAAAAAATACCCTCTTTCCCACAAGCAGGTCAAATTGTGAGAAGTGGTGTAAGTTCTTGGGTAAGAAAAAGTTGGAGAAAAGTTCACCCTAATATACAGAAAGAGTTTAGTTGTGATACCACCACATCCAGCTGCAATACCTGGGAAATCCACCATGCAAAAGCAATGGCTTAATCCTTGGTCACACTTGACCTGGTATCAGGGTCCAAGATGACCTCTGCTCTTGCTCTCAGTGTGGTGCCTTTCTTGGAAGACTGGTCCTGGAGCATGGCCCCTGCAGACAACAGGAACCACGTCCTAGCCACAGCATGGCAAGCCATGTTGCTTTGCAGGGTGAAGAGCGAACAGATTAAATGAAGACCATTCTCAGAAGCAGGATCACGGAACATCCATTAAATTCACCAGGGTTTGTTCAAATACAGGAAGATGCTCTCTGACTCACTGACAGAACTAGCATGATTTGTTGGCTTGTTTTTTTAATGTTTTCCCAGACAGAGTGATACCACCAGTGGTATTGGGTGTGCAAGAAATGGAAAATTGAGCCTTGTTTTGTAACAGTACTTTGAATTTAAATTTAAACTTACTCATTATATTGGTTTAGGAAGCAACATTTGCAGCAGCTGCTGCCTATCTATGAAAGCATGTGATTTTCCCCCTTTATTTTCAAACGGAAAGGAAAGCAATAAATCTAAAAGCCAATAGACTAAAAATATCTGATAGATATAATGAAAGAGATGGACGGGGACAGATGACACACAGATGAGTTTTGCTCAAAAATGTTTAATGGTGAGTAGTACCACATTTCTTCTTCATGTTCTGTGCCTTTTCATCCCCACCTCCATCTGGCCTCTCTCCTCCCAGTGCTTGTTTTGTCATAGCATGTAAAGCCCAAGTCCTCTTGAGGTGGAGAGGTAATAGCTCACATCTGCACAGGTCCAGCACTGTGACAGTGCTGCAGGACCAGCATAGTCTATACAGCTCTCAGCAGTTTAGCAAAAGTAAGGGTCAGTTGAAAGTTCAAGAGCTTCTGCAGCACTGAGACTGATCTAGTTTTAGAAACGTTCCCTGAGCTGAGCTGCAGCCCAGCCCTTGCAGGCTCTTTTACCAGGACTATTACCTGTCACCATAGCACGGAGAGCTGGGTCAAGGAAGGACTCTGCAACTTCAGCACAGGAATCCTGTAGTACAGGCAAGAGCACAGCAAACTTTCTTTTCCTTTCTTCGGTACTAACCCTGCCTTCAGCAACAGATGGACCAGAATTAGCTGTACCCAGAAGCTTGAGGAGAGAAAGAAAGGGCTGTGAATATCACTCTCAATTTGCTAGCAGGAGTAACCTAGTACTGGAGAGAGAGCAGTGAGTCAGGAAGTCAATCCCACATTTGTGGTCCCACACTGGGCTGCATTTGTGGTGCTGTCCTCTCCAGAGCAGGTGCAATTGGTACTCAGGGCTTGTTTTCCTGGTTAAACATTCTCCAGGGTACAGGCTTTCCCAGCTCACATCTGCTAGTGTTTCTGGATTTGGGATAGTTGCTGTTTCCCTGGAAGTGGGCACAGGACTGTTTTATTTGTTGCCAAGCGCCACTGGCATCTAGACAGTTTTACCAGAGCTTATGGAAATACTTTTAGCTAAAACAAATACTGAAGTCAAACCTTTTCAGAGCTTGAAAGTATTTATGGGTGTGGTTTACCAAGCAATTCAGGCTGATTTGAATCAGGATTAGTGGTGAAAAAAGACATTCTGGCCCTTCCCTCTTCTGTCAATTCTCATTTCTGCTCTAAGCTGTAGCAGCAAGCTCGTTGGGCTGCTAACAATGCCCTCAAAGCCAAGTGACAGCTTCCTGCTGGATGAGTGAGCTGAACTGGCTGAGCATGCCTGGTAGTAGAGTGAACCCGAAAGACTGCAAAGCAAGGGTGAACAGGACAGGTCTTCCCCTTTTAGTGCAACACAGCTTAAGAAACCCAGGAAAAATGGGTGATCGAAACTTACAGAGTTGAGACTAGAGTAAAATCTCTTCTGTGGCAAGCCAGGCAGAGATTCACACCAACCAGAATGTAATACACCTAGCCTTACATATACACATATATAAACTCTCTATTATTCTCTCTCCATTTTTGCCAAAATATTCTGGACTAAAGTAAAACTAAACAGTAGAAAAAAGCAAAACATGAGAAGCAGAGGAGTTGCTGCAATAGAGTACCTAACCCCTATCATCTGTCCTGACCCGAGCTATAAACACACATGCACTCTCACACACCAACCACCCTCCAAACAGGAGACGTCAGCCTTGGTCACATTTGTTGATCAGTTGCCAGCAGTCTCCTGATCAAAACACATGGATTAAGGCTTTGAACTGTGGCTATCATCCAAAAGAGCACCTGCTCCTCTCTGCCCCAAATGTGTAGTTACATTAGCTGCTGCATGCTTAGTTTTGTTTACTGTTTCCCACTAACTTCTAACCATGCTTCTTCTACAAGACAGCTTAGGTAACCTGAACACAGCATTTAGTAAGCTGGCAGAACTTGGAAGACTCCCTCTTGCAATCAATCTAAAAGGACTCTGTCAGAACTGGACGTACAGGGCTCTCCAGGAAACCACACCAGAACATGTGCTGGCTTTAGAACAAGTGGCTTATCTTATTTTCCAGGTGCTTTGTTTATCCAGATGTACAAGGGCCTCCCTTTCCCAAGATTCTTTCTGCATCATGGGGAGTAATGAAGAGGACTTGTCATTGCCTCCAGCTGCAATTTAAAACTGTCTCTGCTCCCTGCAGAAAGCAGTGTAGATGTTTTCCAAAGGTGAGTGGCATTTTCTAGTCTGATTATTTCAACACTTAATTATTCTATTCCCACTCCCCAAAGAATTTTATTTACTTAGCTTGTTGGAGCTGGCAATCACAGGTAGGCTCCAGGGAGCAGAGTATAGATGAAGCACATATAGCTTCCAAGATTAGAAACTCTGTAATTTGAATGCCCTGATGGATTAAAATCAGGATGGAAGGAAGGACTATGGCTATTTATGATGTAGCAAAGCTACATAGCTTGTGAAATATGTTCCTCGTGCAAGAACATCAACCTTTTTTTGACCCTAGCCTCTGATTTCTGTCCTTGGCATCTGAATACTACACCTTTGATCAACAGCTGCTAGTACATAATATCCCCAGCCATATGACAAGGCTGAGAAGTCACTTCACATTTTATTTCTTTTTCACATTCCCATTCTACCTTCATCACCAGTTTCCTTCTACAGAATTAATAGAAATAGCAGGAGATGACAGAGAACATTGCATGAAGTCTCTTTCTTACTTATGGCTTAAACTGCAGCCCTCCTCTCCCCACAGGGACATCCAGACCAGTCCCTTTGTCATGTCAACTATTGCATCTCTGCCCATCAGGAATAAGACAGTGCTATTCCTGGCTGATGCTGGGAAATGTGGGGACATAACATGTCATCTAAACTTGCCTCTACCATAGTACTAGAGCTGTGCTTTAAATACTTTTTACCGTATAACATGGTTTGGACAACATTTCTCATCTACAGTGGAACTAATTCAAACACTAATAGGAGGAAGGACATCCTCACAATTAAGCATGTGTCAGATGAAAACTAAGTGGCAGAGGCAGTTTAATAACCTTGCACCACACCCTGCCTGATGGCAACAGAGCACTCAAAAAATCCCTGTTGTTGGCAGGTTAATAAAGGCCTTGTCTGAATTACATGCATGACACAGTGTGTCTCCAGCTGGGATTTTTAAGTGTTGGGAAGCACCCTCTGGTCCACACTGGAGGAAACACTCCTACCAAGCAGAGGAGGCAGAAATCAGACCCTCTCTTGGTGCAAAAGACTTGGACAATGCTTACAATGGGCAATTCCAGCCCAATTTCTTAGTTGTCTTTTTTTCATAATATAGCTAAAAGCACTTATACTACAAGATTTCCATATTTCGTTATGTTTTCTAGATTTGAAAAAGACAAATAAATTGACTTGGCAGGTTTAAAAATAGAAATTGCAGAAAGATAATAAAAACAGCTTCTTCTTACAACTCAAATTACCGTATTTGCAATTGCTCTGCTTCCCAAAATTAGCAAAATTCCCAAAATTAGCACTGTTTGCACACTTCTCATTTTGAAGTTAACCTCAGCACAGGCATAGAAGTGTAAGCCCTTGAGTTGGCTGAGATTAGGTCTGCAGATCAATTTCTCCAAGCTACAAATGGAAATTGGCTTTAGCTCATGCAAAATGTGGCTGTGGGCCTGGTGGATGTTAATAATAAGGTTGCAGTGGCATAACAGTCTTCATTCCTGCTGTGTATGCGTAGATGCAAGGCCCTAAATTCCTGTTAGGAAGGTGGTCTTCCTTCACACTCTGCTGGTGTCAGGGAGAGGCAGGGCTGAGTACTGTCTGACCAGGTTGTTCTCCCATGCCTCCCACATCTTGCCCAGGAGCACAGCTTTGTCAGGAAAACCCAGTCGCCCCAGCAGAAGGGTGTCATTCTGCCTTCCCCTCTGCAGTGGGAAGGTGTCAGGAAACACTGTCTGTGGGAGCCCCTCCTTCTCTTGGCCCTCATTCTCGCCTGGTGGTCCCTTCTCCCCTACTGGAAACTTCAGGGTTAAGGGGAGTGGTTTATTTGGGTTTAATTTCCTGCCGGTGTTAAACCACCACAAGTTCTGTCTGTTACGCAAAGGCACACTGAAGTCATGACTCCGCTGTGGTATCGCAATGTAGATGTGTAACAAAGAGTTGTGGCTTCAGATTGACAGTGGATTACAGGAGTTTTTTGATACCAGATTTTGAAACTAATTTTTCTAACAACAGAAACAATTTGTATATGACTTCACTTACCAGTCAAAGTACCAGCTGGCAAAGTCTCTCTTAGGAGATTATAGACAATTTCTGCCAAAGATTATGTTTTTCCATTGGAGAAAACTTTTCTTTTAGAGATTTAATTGAAACACATTAAAAACAATGTGCCTCAGAGAGGATGATGATAAATATTTGCTGAAAACAAGTGTTTTCCAGCAATTTTATATAAATTGGCTTCACTTCTGGAAATGAAAAGGTGTAGTCCAATGAACTCTGAAAGAGGCAGGAATGTTTCCCTTAGTGCTTAATGCTGTAGTACAAGTACACACAAACATCAAACTAGAGTTTAGTGAGACCCCTTTGTGACTATGAAGTCTGCTCCTGACCTCACTGGTGGAATGTGAAAGATGATTTAAGTCTAGCACACCACAAAGAGAAACATAAAAGAGTTGCACCTCTATTGTCCTCACTAGATGCCATATTTTGGTATTTCCAGGTGTATCCATGGGAAATTCAGAGATCACATCCACACTGTGCAGCTGAATTTTGCTGGAGTTGGGAACATGGTTGAACTGATGGTAGAAAGAAGCCCTTGGAACCATCATGTTTATCTAACAAGCACCCTATGCACTCACTTTGACCTGTGCTCTCCTTCTGTGCAATGCCTGGTTCACCTGGTGCTACAGACAGTGTTTCACATGAGTGATGCAGCACTCTTTCCTGCAGTGTGCAATTTAAAGCAGAAAGGTGGGTCTGGTAAGGGAATTGTGAAAGTACTATGCTAGCACAGAAGACTAAACTTTTAAATAACTGAACATCCTTACTGAAGATGGATGTATAAAACAAGGCAGAATTTCTCTCTGGCATGCTTTTCTTTGGTGGTTTTGGTAGTTCTGTAGAGCTTTCCTAGCCATGATAGTAAGAAACAGGACAACTGCATGGTGCTAAGTCACAGCTGAGGAGGTTGTTCTTCCTGTAATTCTACTTCACCTTCTGCTGAAAAATGTTCTCCCTGTTTTGCTAAGTACAAACCAACAGCATGTCTTGGAGAATGAATGGCAGATGGGAAGTCACATGGTAGCTTTGTATTCATCCACTCATATCTGTCCTGTAGACCCAAACTGAAAGCAGATTAGGTTCCTTTCTGTATTTTCCTGGATGGCAGCAATAAGTGCTTTGCAAAACTCTTCTCAAGCAGGTGTTATTACCTGGGATAAAAAGGCCTGGAAATCCTCCTCTTCTCAGTAGCATTTGCAAGCTTTGTGCTTTGATTAATTTCTCAAAGCCTACATGGAAACTATGTTAATCCATCAGTTTAAACATTCATGCAGCTCCTTTCTAAATCTCAATAAGCAGATTGATACGGCAGATGATGCCTTGAGCTTCCTCTGAAACCTGACTACCAGGTCTAGCAAGTGCAAGTGATATTTCCTTCTGTCTGTGAGCAACTGAGGAAATTTAGCCCATCCTATCTGATGCTAAATTGGTTACGGTGATTTATCTCCTTCCATGTTTTCCAGGGTAATTGCTACAACATTCTCCAGCTGGCAACACAATCCCCAGGGGATCTGTAGAAAACTTTTATTTGAACTATTCTAGTTGTAGAGGATGTTGGCTAATTTCTTAAGTGTAAACAAATCTGAGTCTAATCCTAGCTATCAGGTGTTATTGGGAAACACTTCTAAAGAAATACCTTTCCTGCTTCTGCAGATACATACCTTAGGAATGATGAAATAATCCATCCTATAGGCTTAGTCCTATATTATGTTTCTGTCCTAGAACTCACCTGGACCTATACTGGCTTTCATAAGCACTGACATATTGCCTTTGGCACAAAATTCCAGACTTGTACCCTTTGTTTTTCCAGTAATAAAAGTTTTGGCTTAGCAGTAATTGATTTCATTCAGCACTCTGCAGAGTAGTTTTTTCTCACATTTAAAACCAATAGAAAGACCTAAAAACGATACAAAGTTACAGTGCTTTGTAGGTAAATTTAGTGTTTGCAGGAGTCACTGCTAACCTTCTCTCTGTGCTCTTTTTGCTCAGCTGTTTGCTATGTCTATTTTGACTTGTGAGCAGTCTTGTGTAGGGGGTCTGAGAGTGAAGCTGATTCATCTTTCATGGGAAACAGACTAGTCAAACTATACTTCTTTGTGGCCAGGCTAAAAAAGTTGATTTTGCAATGCAATGAGCAGCTGAAAAAGTGAAGCACGAGATGACTCAAAGTGTCATTCACATGCCGTCTTTTAACATCAGCAGTCTAGCCTCCCTAATGCAAGAGCCTTCCCCTCTCTCCCACGTTTCTCTGACAGCAGTTTTGAAAAGTACAACTTCTTCCTCCCCTCCCTGTGCACCACATGCCGATGTCTCACTCAGTCCTTACTCATGCAAATTCCAGCCTGCTCCCCCAGCCCCCCAGCTTCAGTTGCTGAGGTGCAGCAGAAGCATCCCGACTATACTTCCAACACACAGAGTACAGAGCTTCCCCAATTGTTTTACACTCTGCTGTGGCCATGCCTGAATCCATAGGGACGATACCTCACCAAGCTGCACTCTGAATCCTGTGCCGATACAACAGAGTGTGTATTCATGAGCCTGGACACAGAGCCACCAGAAATGCCTACACCATCGCAGCAGATGCTACATTTCTGCAGGAGGAGTATGTTGTGGGTTCAGGCTGTCAGCATCTCTTTGCCAAGAAATCCATGTAAGATGCAGCATGTCCAAGTATTCACTCCTGTTTGAGACCCCTTATCACCCTGCCCTAAATTCTTTAGTCTTCCTCTCTGCCTAGGGTATGCGAGTGCATATTGGCAGTGTAGGTGACCTAGGCTTGGTGACAGCAGGAGCCAGAGTTTGAGCAAGGTGGTCCAGGTTTGCCTTGTCCCAGGACAGGCCAGGGAATTTTAAGATACATCCAACAGACTCAGAAACATAACTGCTTTCGCAAAAACGATCTTTAAATATGCATGTGTTGGATTTGGACCTCACCCAAAATAGTCTGGCTGGTGCAGAAACACTAGGTCAGTTTGGTTAATGCAAAGCTGAACCAGGTCTACCGAGAGCCTCATCTGGCTTTGAGACAGGATAGCTGCTGGTCCCACTGCTCCTGTAAAGCTTGTTATGATAAAAGGTGCAGCCATACAGAGGAATATGCTCCCTTCTATGTACTGCTCACCTGACTTTTGAAGACCCAAATACTTCTACCTGCAAGGTCTGTGTGGCTTGGCTGTAAACTTTTTGGAAAGCAAGTACCTTAGGCCTTGTTGAAAACCGATTTTCTTTCTCTTTTCTACCCACTGCCTTGTCTTGTGAGTCAGACAATGCCTGAAAAGAAACGTGAGTGAATTTTTGGAGTGTGCTTTTTGTTTTTGGTGACACAGTGGACTGAGTATAATAATTAAAAAATCAAATAGAAATAAATTTTAATATTGTGCAGAGTCCTCTTAGGCCACCTTCTGTACACGTACATACTGTAATGCTCCATCTCCTCTGACTTAGCCAACAGCATGCTTCATTTACTTTTTTTTGGAGTAACAACTTGGGCCTTACTCCTCCATTTCATTGTCAAAGCTGAAACAGTGATGCAATTCAAATTGAGGCACCTCTTTTAAATGGTGCTGCAACAAAGCATCTCTGCTATAAAAAAGTTACAGTGAATTAGGGAGGTAACTTCTCCATTGAGGGAGTAACACAGCCAACAGAAGTTTAGGACCTGGAATTGGCTCCAGCATAGCCAGCTCTCAAAACTTCACTGTTGCTCTCTGTAAAGACCTGACCATTCAGGAAAGTGGCTCCTTTCTAAACCTGGCTCTGTCAAGTATGTGACATTTAGGAGTTTCTGAACTCTTGTAGTTTCATAACTTTCTCAATCACTTGAATACCAGAAGTCCTAAAACCTATGACTCACTTTGTCTTACCCTTTTCTACTCATCCTTTTAAGGTGAGAAAATTCATATAATCATATATCCAAAAAAATAATACAAAAATAAAAATCATACATCCATAAAAAATAATATAAACATTTATCCACCTCCACCCAAGGCTGCCTCTGGATGCCCTTGTCCCACCTTAAAATCATTTGCATGTAACTACTGATCTCTTGTGGCTTTCCAAACTCAGCAGTCAGGTCAGCAACAAAACTTTCAAAGACAGTACAACCAGTAACACCCAATAAAAATAGCCATATGAAGCGCTTTCTTTGATGCATGCTGCTGCATGCTTGGGAGAAATCACTGGGAAAATGGCCTGCACCAAACTGTTTGCTTCCTCCCTATCTTCTTCAGAAAATTTCTTTAAGATTTGAAGGATGCCAGTAGAATACTTCCCTAAACTAAAGTAATCTGTAATGCATCTTGACCTTGAGCAACAAACTTGAGAGTTTGTCTCTATTATAGATTTTGAAGACGAAATGAAAATTGTCATTTGTTGCTTTATCCTCAATATCATGTTTCAGCAGCTCTTCTCTGAAGCTACAAAGATGGTTAGTATCCAGCTTCAGTTCACTGTCAGGAGCTAAACCTACCATGTTCCTTACATGAACTATACATTCTGTACACTTAAACTTTTTTGACCTTGCAAACAACTCCATTTTCTCCATTTCTGGAAGAAAATAGAGAAATGGAGAAAGGGCAGGATCTTTGCATATTTTAAACACAGTTCTAGAAAGTGCAGAATGAAGCTCTGCTCCTAGTCACATTCACAAAGAACAAGATGATACATTAATACAAGTGAAGCAACAGAAGGGATACTCACATGTATCAATTTAGCTAACCTTTTTTTTTTTTTTTATCCCCAAATTATATGCTAGGAAACAAAGTTTTTATTTTTTTTATCAGTAGCACAGGATTTATAAGAAAGGAATCCAAAGCTGTCCTGTGACTGTGATTCACTTTCCTGAGCGTATTACCATGAAAACCATAAATGATGCAGTAACTGCTAGTCAAAGGTTCATCATAGAGTCCACTAAGTAATTTATACACCCAGGTCTGCATTTTATAGTAAATGGAAGCAAGGAACTGTGAGAGAGAAACATGTAATAAATACGGTTGGGAAGGGAAAAACAGAAAGAAAGTAAAAGGAGTAGTTAATCAGCGTTGGTAAGTTGACCACACATCTCAAGTGTACATAAAGCATTTGGGAAAGTGGGCTGGAGAGGAAGCCTTTTCTGGTAGAAACACAGGAAGTTTTATGACATGAGAAAGACCCCTCCACTTACCAGACTCTGACAGAAGTACTAAACATGTCTGCAGCTGGAAGTGGAGGTATGGAAGTGGTCATTAGTTGACAGAGATAAATACAGGCTGCATAGAGCTGGGCTCTGCACTGAGCCACTAAGAGCAGCAGTGGGCAGAATATCAAAACACAGAGAGCTCAGGGTAGGACTGCTCATAAACCATACTTCTTATTAAGGACTAGATTTTAAAAGAATGGTTAACTATGGAACCCAACAATAGCTGGAGCCTGGGGAAAGATTTAATAAAGCAAGGGCAAAATAGGCAAAGGCAGGGGGAAACAGCAACTAGCATTTTAAGATCTTGCTTAAATCCTTTGCAGGGCAGAACTATTGTGCAAAGATGCCTGCATAGCGTGCCATACCAAGACTGTGCAGCTATCAGGGAGAGATGCTGAGATTTTAAATAAGCAGCACCAGCAGAGGACCTTGTGTGATGAGGGGATAATTAATGTAAAGGACCATTGTTTGAGCACAAGTTCTAATGCAGTGTCTTCTCTCTCTGCAGCATGGCATTATCTGGAGAATTCCTGATGACAGACTCACATTTGCTGTCTTGCTTTCCATTATGAAAAACCACAAAGGAAAAGCTATGTAGCAAACTGCTTTGGCTTGCCATTTGTTCAAAAGAATGCAGATGCCTCTGCTGCACAGGCACCATCTCTGCAATTAAAAAAACCCCAAAAATATTCCTGCAGCATACTAAGAAATCCCCATGAAGTCAAACAGGAGGTTCCCAGAACTTCAGAAGGCAGGCATTACCTCTCCTCAATTCTGACTCTGAAGAAAAGAGAAGTTTTGATACCCTTCAGCAACAGAATGTGATCAACAAGGATGCAACAAGCAACAGTTTATTTGTAGAAAAATCCTTTAAAATTTACTACAATGTAAGATTAAGGAAAAAATAGTCTTAATATATATACATACAATATATATAAACAAACACTTATCGCACCATGAAAATTACATGCTTTTTAGAACAGAGAATGAATCATATTCCCTCATATCAATTTTAAAGTTATCACTGCAAGAAACCTTGCTTCCTTTTTTTTTTTTTATCCCCATCAAAGTTTTCAAGTACAGGAAGTAAGTAATGCAGGATCTAATAGTAGAAAACCTTTGTTATACACAAATTACAACTGACAGCTAGACAATATTATTTGTAGTATCCAACACTTGTGTTTTTGAGCTCTATTATAATGATATGAACTTTTACCTGAGGTGCATGGAAATAACGAAGCATGATAATTGGCAAGTTTAAGAGATTTTCACATTATGATTTGACTTTAATTGAAGTTGATTAGGTATCACATCTATACCTGTAGTACTGGCACAAGAATGCTCTGCGCGAGTCATCACCAATGACTTAGAAGTGCAGGAAAAATTAACAGGCAAGCACCACTTGCAATGAAAAGCATGCAGACAATTTAAGTGAAACAGAGGTAGCATGTTCTTGTAACTCCAGCAGGGTCATTCAAATCAACTGCACTCTCCCTTCTGCAAAAGGCACTCACTTTTTCAGCTAAAAACAATGCGCTTAAGTTTGGTCAGACTGACCACAAATGGTGGATTTCTCCCCTTACAAATATAGAAAAATGTTAAGCAGAGAACACAGTTAAAAGAAAAAAAAAAAAAAATGTAAGGAACTTACACATATAAGGTACCATGTGCTATTCCTCTCCCCCTAACTTTTATGGGAAGAATTATAGAAAACAGTTGCAGTACATAATCCAAAAGTTAAGACTTTCCAGTTGAAATGGCAGTATTAAGCAGCACATTCTCAATCAGAAATAGTTTTAAACCACCAGAAGTACACCAGTCTTTTTAATAAAGAGCAACAATTCACAGTTAGGAGTAGTAAGTTTATGCACATAAAAGGTGGTGCCAGAGAAGAATCCTCTGATGCAAAAGCTCATAAATTAGTATGCACTGTAACTTTTATACTGTATCTTTTATCCTTTCTGCACTTTGAAAGGCTGCCCACAAAAAACACCTCTTCTTACCGTGACACTACAGAACTAATCGAGTTATAAGATGTTCCACTGTTGCAACTGGAGGCATAAGCCTCTTGACCATTAGCATCTAAATTAATTTTAAATACAGAAGATGCCTTCAGTAAGAAATCTGCTGCATCTCTGCGACCTAATTCTCTCAGCTTAGACATTAGTATGCCTACAGTGCTGTCAGGTGCATTACTCCATTCCTGCAGAAGGGCATGAACTGGGCTTGAGAGAAAATAATTTTGTGTTCCATTATTTGTATTGTACTTTGCAACAAGGTCAGGGAGGCCCAGGTTCATGGCAAGAAGGCACCAATCTTTGCCCATTGGATCAGGTGGATCCAAAAGTCGACTTAGTTTTCTCCTGGTAAGCAGATTCAGATCAGAAACATGAATATCCATTCCTAGGCTTCCCTGGGAGTAAACATCAAGACACCCAAAACACAGTATACTGCTAAAGCTCTCTTTATATCCCCCCATAGTGTTAGTTAGTGATGTCTCCTTTTGACTCTGCGCACGGAAAAAGTCTCTAGGCTGGTAGACCATTACTGGTTCATGGTGTTCCCTCAGTTGCTGAGGACTAAGGTAATATTTCCCGGTCAGAAGACCTGGTAAGGTTGTGGCTATTAAGTTATCAATGGTGCTGCACACAGAATCCAGAAGTAAACAGCACTTGATCTTCTCTGTTTCCAGTCCTCTAACTTGAACCTCTATACCCTGCCCATGGTTGACCAGCAGCACTAAAAGCTCAGCTCCTCGATTCATAATCTTTGATCCATTTACCCACAGACGTATATCAGCATCTCCCTCTGCGCTCTGCTGATGAATCCACCTGCAGAGATTCACCTGAACTTTATGAAAAATTCCACAAGGAAATGGGGTAAGATGTTCCACAGGAACGATTCTAACACCACCATAAATCAGCACTTCATCCTCCTCATCTGTCCAAGACCTGTGGAGATTGTCAGTCTTTATAAGAGCAGGAATATCCACCATCGCTCCACTGCTAAGGTCCCTTGCACAAATATCCATGGCATCCAAAATCTGTATCAGTTCTTCCACGTCACTATCTGTCACCAGACGCTGGATGTCCTCTATGGTGTACCGACCTCTGTAGTGATGGAGGGCTTTTGGGTTCTCCACTGACAAGATTTTTCCAAGCACATTAGAACAGAGCCAGCGAGGATCCAGAAGCACAACATCTTGGACAGTTTCACTCTGCATAATGTTAATCTGTTTATAAATATGAAAGTTACTGTTTACATCTTGTGAAGTACAAGATGATAGCCCACATTCTCACCTTCCTAACAGACTGACCAAACAGTTCGATTAACACTGCTCACAGGGAAAAAAACAACAGTGCATTTAAATATATGTCAAGTACTGAGAACAAAAACCAGATCTTGCTGTTATTTTACACTAGTAATGAAATTATTAGAGCCCAACAGCTGGAAAGCCTAGTCATGCCCTGCAAGCTATTTATGCAAAGGTGTTATCCTACTACACAATTTCTAATGGACACATATAGATCTTTCATATGCAGTGAACATTTCAGTGAAGCTGAAACATAATGATCCTTTCTGGGTATTTTATATTCTTTCAACTATAGTAATAAACTCTAATTCTTCCTGTCTCAAAGATATTACATTGAACAAAATAGAGGCCACAAGATCTATAATGATAACAGAAAGCATTAATAAGCATTCTCTGCTTCTCATGATGTCTTAAGAGGAAGAGAAAAAAACCAAACAACTTTAGACATTTGCTTAAACTTATAAAGCAATATTCTACCAGAACAGTATCTTGCAAATAAAGAGATGGAATTTAGATAAAAATACTTACTTCTCCTATGCTATGCAACTGCTGTGCAATATGCCGTAGGTCATTTTGGCTTGCTAGGGGATTAAGATGTTCCTGTACATCATACACAAACTGCTGCAAGGACATCAGCTGGTTGGGTCCATTAATTTTTCTCCAGGAAGGCAGTGTGGAGATTATTTTTTCACACAGGTGAGTCATAGGTGGGCAAGTCTTAGAAAAGCACAGAAAACATCCATTTGAGAATAGTGGTAGTATTTTTTTTGTTGGTTTTAATGGAGGTCTGATGCATTCATAATGAATATTCAGACCTAAGATTTCCCTTTGTGCTGGACCCTTACTCTTTCATCTGGCATTCACTTGCTGTAAGACTTACCTACCTTTTCTTAAAAAAGTGAATTGCAGAAACCAGTTTTTTCACTGAAATAAGCAAATTTTCCAAATATCACCATGAGCTGCTGTCATGCATCTACAAGTTAATGCTTATTTCTGAAATGATCAGAATTTATTTAGAATCTGTACTCATTAGTACACATGATCATTTTACTTCAAAACATGAGACAGCAGGGTATTAAGTAAGAAGCAAAAGTGGTACTTTGATTTAGTGATTGCCTCAGACTTCACTGATGCACTCTTGCTACATTCTCAAGCCACAGCCTCCGCTTCTTTGCAGTAAATCCCTTCAGATTTCAAGCTAGTGACAATAGCTATAATAAAGCTTTCTTAGTGAAGAAAAGCTTACAAAATCAAGAGACCATCAGGAATGTAAAATAGGCTGAATTTTGCATGAATCCAAGTATTTTCATCAATCCACAGAATTAACTCAGTAATACATACACTTTTAATCAATTACAAAAAAATACATTTCAAAAGTAGCTGCAGAAAATCTCATTGTGTAACATAATATTAATCCACTTAACAAAGGCTACAAAAAATTTGACTTGGTCACCCTTCATATGGAAGTCCCTATGGATTCATGGTGATAATATCAAATCATGGCTACACTTTACCTTTAGTCTCACATGCATATACCTACTCACACAGATACAACTGCAAGCAATATTTTTCAATTAAAAATGCATTAAAAGGTTAATACATATTCAGTTTACATATATATATTTGGAATTATTTTTCTAACAGTTGAGAAAACTGTTCTACTCTGGTGGGTTTTTAGTGAAAAAACTTATTTCCCTGAAATATATTTATAATATATTTCTCTCTTTCTCTGTAATACTATGCTGTATGCATGTAATACTATGCATATCATGATTAAAAAAACCAAAAAAGGGGGGGGCAGTGCTGAAATCCAATCACTGCCAATCAAAAACCGAAACTGTGACTTTAAACTGAAATATCAAATTGTTTCCTTTCAACAGAGAGTATTTTGGTCATCTGCTTAAAACAGCTACTATTTTCAAAATACCGACTGAATCTTTAATGTCAAGGCTTTGCTTATCACAATACCTGTCAAGTGTGTGGCTTAGAAATCAGAAAACAGTGGTTTCTGTATGTTTCATTGTTCTAAGTTTGAAATTTACAGTAGATTAGTACACAAGATATTCACATTTTGTCTGATGCAAGTCAGATCATTAGACACTACTTACAGAAATTATCTGGCTTCTTATTTCTTGCAGGTGATTTCGAAGAAGCTTCATATCTTTAGACCCAGATGCTCCAGCATCCAGGACAAATAACTTTTCTGAAATTTGCAAATCGTTTCCAAATCTAAAGGAAAATAATTATTATTAACTTAGCCCCAAATCTGTTATATTTCTTAATACAATTGTACTTCCATCTTAAATTATACTAGAGTTGTTTTCCTCAAGGAATTATGAAGTTCAAGTAATGATTATGCTGAGATATTTTATAAGCACAGACACTGTAGATGCTGTATAATTTTCCTGAAAATAAGCAGAGATATTAAGAGAAAATCGTTTTCTCTCAGGATGAAGAGTGACTATGCATAAGAAAATTGTAACTACACAGCATGACTTTTAATTACAAAACGAAACATTTTACTAGAAGAGATTATAGGAATTTATTCTTTTTAAGGTCTTAATGTCTGTTGCTTGCTTTCTTCTCACTTTAAATAGTTTAGTAGTCATTGCTGTCAACAGCTCTCTTTCTCACTTCCTTCTGACTTTCCAACCACACAAACCTGTTTGCCTAGCTCTGGACAGATTTGCATTTAAAAGGATTTCAGCACCAAAGATAACACACAGGTATTTCTCTCTTGGTTTATTTCAATTGATTAAGATAATTAATTAATTAATACTTAAGATACTACCCTCCCCCACACCACTGTGCTGGAATTCCTACCTCTGTTTGTTGTACAGCCCAGACAAGTGTCCATACTCACAGGTGTGGATGATTTTTCATACCCAGTGTTTCTCACTTACATGCTTACTCTAAACATAAGGTATTGTTACTTTAAACAATTCTATGTTTATGGAAAATTCCCTATTTCCATCTACCATTAGCGTGTGCTCCAGGCATTTGCTGAAGAATTCTAGAAGTTTCACTATCTCCTAGGTACCTCTTGGATGACCTTGTCACCTGTGTGACTCCACAATGTCCAGCTTTCTGCAAACTGTGTGGGGAGTACTTCCAGGCCTCATTTAAGTCTTTTACATACCTATCCTAAATCAGTAAAGAGCTAAGAGCAATTCTCTGGTAATGTTTCCTCTTTTGCATTCAGAGTTTTTAGCTGAAAATGGCCTACTTTTCTGAGACCAGCAAAAAACCCCAGAACCAAGATGTTAGACAGAAAGTTGGAATGGGTCTTTGGATGTAGCCCAGTGTTTACAGGGTGAGACTGCCTACACCGCAGTTAATTTTGACACAACTTGGCTTTTTTTAGCTCACTCAGGGGAGCTTACTTGCTGTACTATTGGTAATTTT